CCCCCCCCCCCCCCCCTCCTCCGCCACCACTCGGTCACCATCACCTCTCTGGATGCATCGCAGAACGGGCATCTGTGGCCAGGTCCTGGAAATGAGCCTTGAAAGTGTAATTAATGAGAGCAATGATGAGATAATTACACAGAACAAAGTTATTGATCAAGCTGGCGAACTCCTGAGTCTTTAAATTTGCCTGACCTGAGAAGCCCCCCCCCCCCCCCCCCCCCTGCACCCCATACTCCTCTGCTAACACACACACACATCTGGGTATGAAGTACAGACAGGGAGCGAGGTCATGTTTTCTGGATGGGGCCAGTTTTCACATCTACCTGTACTTACTTGCTTACAGACATTTATGCAAATGCCATGGTAAGAGAAAGGCTCTGTAGTGGTTAATGCATCAGATATGTCTGCTCTGTGCATGAGTGAAAAGTATGTTCATTATAAGTGGATGATGATTATCAGAGAAGTATTTGATGCAACAAACTCATGACAGGAGGGGCTGCTGTAGAATAAGAATAATCTGCTGGTGTGAATCCAAAAATGGAACAGTTTGTCAAACAAACGGTGTTTTTGTCCTCAGGCAGCATGGTGGTGCAGCTGCTGGAGCTGTCACATCACAACAGGAAGGTCGCAGGTTCGCCTCCCGGCTTTTCTGGAGTTTACTTGTTCTCTTCTCCGGGTACTTGAGTTTCCTCCCACAGACCAAAATCGTGCATGTTAGGCTAATTGTCCCTACGTCTGAGCGAGAGTAAAAGGCTGTTTGTCTCTATGTGTCCCTGTGTTGGACCTGGGACCTGTCCAGGGTGTCCCCTGCCTCTCACACAGTGACCGTTGGAGAAAGACATGGCTCTCCATGATTCCAAGAGGACAATGCAGCTAAAGAAAATGGATGTATACATCAGCTCACCAATGTTGATTATTGTGGTGAACAATTAACATCTTTTACACCAGTGCTTTTCAAACTAGGGTTCCCGGACCCCCAGAGGTCTGCGAGCCAGTGCTTAGGGTCCGCTGTTAGTATTTTATATAGGCTGACCCTGGGTTTTTTGATCTTCTCAGAGACACATTATAAAGAAATTATGACCCGTTTCTGACTGGTTTAAATGGGGCCAGCAACTCTAAAAAGAGTCTCCAAGGGATTCAATATTCGTCGAGGAATAGAGTTTTATTTATTTGTTATTGGCTCGCTGCATCATGTAGAAAGGCTTTTTTCTGCACCGCATCATTTTTCCTGACACATCACGCCACATAAGATCTAATGAGATCACACTTAATCCGGCTCCTTATCCACGTGATAGGTTGTGCTCCCCTCTGCGAAGGAGGAGTCTAGGCCCTATAAATTTGTAATTTTCATTCAACCTTTATTTAGACTGGTTTAATCCCATTGAGCCTCGAGGACTCATTTACAAGAGAGACCTGATTTCAACAAAGAATGATGACAACAATGGACAACAGCGACAACAATAGACAGTTATAAAAAGACATACAGATTTTTATTTTTTTTTACAAATAAGATGGCTAAAAAACGTAACAAAAACCAGCAGTAATGCCATGTGACATCCGGCTCTTCAGGTCCAGGATACCACGTCGTGTATCGGACAGGCCAATGCTGTAAACTGTAACTTTCTCCTGCCTTGAGTTAATACAACTGATAAAACTTAATTCACATTTCCTTAATTTATTGATAGTGTGAGTTGCTGCTTCTGGGGGAGGTCCGAGCTGTGGGGGGCAGCGTGAGCTGGAGGCAGACCTAGGGTCTGAGATGAGGCCTGAGGTCCACAGTTAGCAACGGCTAGCTGCAGTAGCTCGGAGCCCGTGGCAGCTCTCGCTGCAGTCACAAAAATAAACAAACAAATAAATAAATAAATAATGTTTATTTTTTATTTTCCTTGGCTTCCTTAGATAGAGAACTTTAATTGGCTTTTCTATGGATGTGAATGTTCCTGTAATGTGCCCTGAGACAACTTTGTTTTGATTTGGAGCTATATAAATAAACTGAATTCAATTGAATTGAATTTTACAAGCACATAGATGTTTAACCACCCATTAAAATACACCAAAAATGCAGGAAATCACATTTACTTTATTCAAAATTTTCTGGGGGAGGACCCCCAGACCCACTGCCCCCTGCTGGTCTGCCCAGTCCTGCTACTTGGTTTGACTCCTGCTGTTGTGATTCTGTTCAGTTTTATGGAAACAGTTTTCTGTAATAATTTGAAGTGGAAACACATTCATTATGTTCATTATGTGAATAAATACAGTTTTAAAGTGTTTTCTGATGCTGTTAATTTTCTCAAAACTGTATTTTTTGGAAGTTGAAATAATAATAAAAAAGTTAATTATGTCTTGAATGAAAAATACACCCCCCCCCCCCCCCATGTTTAAAAATATAAAAATTGTATTAACACTATTAAAAAACAGGCCTAAAGGATTTATGTTACAAAAATATTTCCATTGCATTAAAGCGACAAACTGAAGAAAATTATTTAATGAACATGAGGGTTATGAGGGGGTCCCTGAAACCAAAAAGGTTGAGAACCCCTGTTTTACACAGTAAGCTGCTTTTTGAACGAGTTTGAATCTAACAGGACGGATGAGCTAATGGCTAGTCTGTATGCAGTTAAGACCAAAGTGGCTCACTGCCATCTTAAAACAGCTCCAACATCAAAATGTACATTGGTTCATGTAAATGTTATTTTATAAACCTTTACACTGCAGCCACTTTCACATTGTGGAGTAATTTACATTGTGAATATTTGCAGGAAAAATAGTAGCAGCTAGCAGTAGCGCTTCCAAAGAGCCTGGGGCCCTTCCAGCAAAAATGTCATAAGCATTTTAGCCAGAATAACTGTGGAATGTGAACTTGATGGCAACATTAAGTTAAATCATAGATACTGTTAAATTCTTTCCATTCAAAGGTCACTCAGAGAACTATCTACAACAGGTTAGATATTGTTGTTCAAAACCTTTACACAAGCCATCACTTCAAACTACTCAAGCACTCCTTTGAAATGAAACACTTCATAACAGGTTTACGTTGCTGTCAGTCATGTTCAGGGATGAGTGATCTAACAGTATGACGCAACACTGACAGCTCTCTGAACACTGAGAGGACTTTATGAGACCAGAGCTGGTTGAAGACAGCAGCACCTCTGACCTTCACCCTGCTCCTAGAACCACTACACCACCAAACTGAAGTCATTCAAAGAGTCATGTGCAGCAGGTAAGATATTGACTGTTCATAAACTTTTGACATTACCCAACTTGAAAAACATTGACTGGTTTATTAAAAAGGAGAAAATATTAAATCATTGTTTCAAAAAGAGGAATAAATTGTCAGGTGTTGCAGACCTCTCCTCTCATCTCCTCACCTCTCCTTCCTCTCGTCTCATCTCCTTTCCTCCCTCTCCTCACCTTTCCTCTTATCTCCTTTCCTTTTTTCTCCTCTCTCTCCTCTCCTCTCATCTCCTCACCTCATCTTATTTTTCCTCTCATCTCTTTTCCTCTCCTCTCGTCTCATCACTTCACCTCGTCTCTCATCTTCTTTCCTCTCCTCTCCTCACATCACTTCTAATTACCTCACCTCTCCTTTTCTCTCTTCACCTCACCTCTCATTTTTCTCCTGTCCTTTCCTCTTTTCTCATCTGCTCTCATCACCCTTCATTTCTTCTCCTTGCCTCTCTCATCTCCTGTCCTCACATCTCCTCTCATTTTATCTCCTGTCTTTCCTCATCTCTCCTCTCATCACCTTTCATTTCTTCTCCTCACCTCTCCTCTCCTCTTCTCTCCTCACCTCACCTCTCTTCCACTCTCCTCACCTCTCCTCTATTCACCTCACCTCTCTTCCACTCTCCTCACCTCTCCTCTATTCACCTCTCCTCTCCTCTTCTCTCCTCCCCTCGCCTCTCCTTTCCTCACTTCTCATCTCCTTTCCTCTCCTCACCTCTCCTCTCCTCTCCCGACTCTGGATCTAATGAGGCTGCAAGTCGATGTCGTCTTGAAACGTGGACAGCAGGAGTGACAGGTTGGTTTTTGGCGGGGTGAAATAGATGGGAGCATGAAAAATGGCATGCCACTTTGAATAATTAAACAGTTTAAGAGCCTTACTGGTCCACCGGGCCTCAGATCGATGAACAACATGTGGTCCTCCTGACACCTCAGCGCAGGTCATTTCATTTCTGGCACGAAGTTCTGAAAAGCTCTCACAGATAGCTTACTGTGACGTCAAATCACCTGATGTCCTCAAGAAGGCATATTTCTGGGTGTAATCTTGTTTGAGCAGCTCCAGCTCTGCATCACTTCTGGTCATAACTCCTTAATGCTCCAGCTCTCCTGTTCACTCGTGGGTTAATACTTAATGAAGACTCCTGCAGTCGCCGCTCTGCTCTCAGGCTCAGTTTTCTATTCTGTCTCTGTGTATTGAACATCAAATGCTGCTCAGGGTCCTGGTGTGAGATTAAAGGGCTTGTTCCTTTCTAATAGGCCCTTGACCTTCGCAGCTCGCTGTCACGGCTCCGCTCTTACTCCTTTTGCAGCATACCATCCGCTGCCCGGGCTCCCATGATGCAAATTTCATGTCACAACATCAAACAGCGCGCTGATCAAAGGTCAGCCCTCCTTTCTGTAGGTGTTTGAAATCAAATTTTCTATTTCATCTCCACCTGTCAGGGGCTGTTAGAGCTGAAGAGCAAAAGGATGGAGAGAGACCAGCAGAGGTAGTCAAAGCTGAGAAAAAAAAAAAAAAATAGACAAAGTGATGTGGAAAACTAAGATTAAACATTTGGTGACTGTTTGAAATCTGCACACAGATTCAGCTATCTCTGTTTTAATTCTGCACAAGTAGCACGACGGTGTCTTGACAGGGCTTTGTGTTTTGGCGTGAGTTCATTTGTTTTTGATTGTGTTTCCATTTTCTCATGCACTCCTCATAAATGCTTGAATATTACAAAGCAAAGAGAAGGAGGAAGTTGAAATCGGTGCATCGTTTCTATTAATTAGTGCCGCGATTTGCTGAAGCTCCTGAGAAACACTCTGAAGGTGGGATAAGAATTCAAAGACGGCGTTGAGATGTGACGTTCTGCGTGAAATGATGGTAAAGAAAGAAGTTAGTCATGTGGAGGAGTTCACTGTGGGCTTTTCTTCTAATTATACCTTCTCCTTTAGTCTAACAGCCTGGATATAAACTATGACTTACCTTTAACTGTTTTCAACAATCACCCTAAAAATATTCATTTCTGTTTATCATTTGTCCTTTAATCAGAAGGTTTGATATTCTGCGCCAACACATTTTGCCACACAATTTATTTGCAGATCCCATAATGTTTGATACTCATCCCTGGAATAGAAGATTAAAGTAATATGCTCCAATGACAAACAGAAAGTTTATATTTTTGTCTGGATGTGTTTAAAGCCTCCCATAATTTACAGTAAACTCCCATCAATTCTCATATTTCCCATAAAAATGTTCATTTTCATCCCAAACGCTTCAAAAAACTCCTCCTTTCAAGGAAGATCCTGAAAAATTACAGACATTTTTAATTTCAGCCCTGTCCCTGATCTATCTGCAGGCAGCAGTGCAGCACATCCCTAAACTTCCTCACGTCTTTCTCAGGACAAACAAAACACGCCTGCCTC